ATGTGTTGTGCTCTTATTTATCTACCATTTATATCCATTACTAACATTGAAACACAAAAAGCGGTACTACTGCCATATATTTATTTATTTTCATAGAAAACATCTCAAAATACCATCTTTAAAAACATTATTCATAATAAGTTAACTAGATTTGTCTCTGGGCTAAAACATAACATAACTACAGGATCAATACAAATAAAAAAAATTAAAATTAAAATAATAAGAGTCAAAAACACATAAGTAATAAATACAGTTATAGTAGAATAATAGGCTTATACATACAATAGGCATACACGCAGGATGAAATGTAACGTACCGTACTGTACTGTACGTAGTGAATGTTGTAGAGGTCAAGGGTGAACGCGTTTCTGGAGCCGTGAATGCGTTACAGAACCTCAATGTCACCACATTACCTTCCGAAGCACGGCGGAAAAACCTGTAAAAAAAAAATCATTTTTACCATATTTTGGATAATTACTGTACTAAAAGTTGGTTTCTATTGATTATTAAGTAGTTTTCTACTCTCGTGTGGTAATATTTTTATCATTTTTGCACCCGTGTGGTCCCGTGTGGTCGCGAGTGGTTCCGTGTGGTATTTAGTAGGACCGCCAGCCCCAGGGTAGGCCCGGGCTAGGCCGAATAAGGCCAGGCCCTGTAGTAGGAAGGTACATTGACAATGATAGTTACGATAGATAGGGCCTAGATATAGACCTAACCTAGGCTAGGCCTACTAGTCAAGCAGGATTATATGATTGCAAGGCTGACCAAGGCCTAGCTAGGCCTAGAACAAATGTGGCCTACTTTTAGACAATTATGAGCAAGGCAAACTTGGAAGTGTTACAAACTAAGGCCTAGCTAGGCTGGGCACTAGCTATATAGCCTATGCCTATCTAGGCCTAGGCATCCACCACTAGTAGGTCTGCCTATGGAAAAATATTATTATTAGGCCTAGCCTAGTGGAGTGCAGTACCATACTGTACATTTTTTTTGTTGCGGGAAGGATATCTAAAAATCAGCTCAAAGTTGGGTGGAAAATCCCTAGGAAAGTAGGTGCACGAAATGGTGTATGACCGGTATCGCGATATACAGTATTTGTACAGAATGCCAAATAGGCGTAAAGACTAAAGTAGTGTATGCTGTATGTGTGTGTGTGTGTGTGTTTGGTTAATCTGTTGCTGCTACAGTATCCATGACTTTGTGTTTTATTATTCAGTTTTTATGCTGAAAATTTATTATGTGGTTTTATGCAAGCAATTCATGGCATTATTATACTGCCATTACTTTGCTGCATAATTACAATTGGTATTATATTAATTTTTGTCAAAAATCTGCATGGAAAATGGTCCTTATTTTGCGAAATGCATGGACAGATTTCTAGGCCAGCTTTTTACCCGTAGGATATATTCCCCGCTCAGGCCTTACTATACAGTCTGGGTGTAGTATAGTAGGCCTCAATGAACAATGCTTCCAGGAAATAAAGGGATACCTCCCACAATTATTCCTAATGAAGAAGTCAATTTTTAATTACACCAAGTTCATTTTTCCTGCACATGTTTTATGTATGTTTTCTTTTTTCTGTGTCAACATCCATTCCTTAATGTCAATCCCAACTGACAGGTCCTTTCTCGAGTATCCAAACATAAACGTACAGTAGCCTGTTTGTTGTTTATTTAGATTTTAATTATTTGGTGTAGGACCATTTAGTTTATAACACTCAGAAAATCAGGAAATTAAGTGTGTTTTGTTTGTCTTATTTATTTTGTTATGCCTGGCCTACTGTACAGCAGGCTTCCATTAGTGAATTGAAATTTAATAATTTTGTTTGCCTTTCCCACAGTATTTTTATTACTTTTTATTAAGTCAATATGCATATTTATTATAATTATCAGTATTTAGGATATTCCTTAGTCATTAGATTAATTAGTCATTCATTCATTCAATGAATCAAATTGACTGAAAATATACAATACAAACTGTGTTCCAAACATCGCGAACGAAACGGATGGCATTCGTCTGTTTTAATTACTTTTTGTTTATGCATTGATCATAACATAAAGTATTTATATTATATAGAATAACAAAAACAAATTTCCTTTGGAATTATTTTTAATCAGTTAATTTTTTTTTTCAGGTTAACAGGGGGGATTTCCCCCATCTTCTGGTGTATGGCCCATCTGGAGCTGGAAAGAAGACTCGCATTATGTGTTTGTTGCGGGAAGTTTATGGGGCAGGTGTAGAGAAGCTGCGTATCGAACATCAAACATTTACGGTGAGTACTTAAAACAGTGACGTATGTAGGGTGTGCATACTGTACTCCCCATGAAAAAAAATTGCACACTCTTTGTAAAAGAGCAGCGCCAGCCGAGGGAGTGAGGGTGGCCCCCGGGGCAGCGTATCTGTATGGGCCACAAACTGTAGGCCTATGAAACTTAAACCACTGAAAAATATCATTATTTTTTAATGATTCCATCAATTTTTTGCTATGTTCTGTTGAGAAATCATATTTCTACTGTTCTTTTGTAGACACCATCGAACAAGAAAATTGAGATCACAACTATTGCCAGTAATTATCACATAGAGGTTAATCCCAGGTAAGTTATTTACTACTAGGCCCGTTTTCAATGATTTTATTACTACAAAAATCTATAACTTTCCTTAAAGAAATTTAAGGGTGTTTACCTACGGTAATGCACCAGGCCCGTAGTGTTGGGGGGGGGGGTTTAAGGGGGTTACAACGAACTGCACAAAAACTGAAGAAGGGCCGCATTTAAAAACAAAAAATTGATATTCGTAGACATATTTACAATGTTCTCCAGAGAATCAGAGATCATACAAGCCAAATTTTTCACTGAAACGAACCTCCCACAAATTATGTCACGATATGGGCCTGGGCAATTTACCTTATTTTTATCTCTCGACCCAGTAGTATAAATAGGTACCTGGGATGGTGGCAAAAAATATATTATTAACTGGTTTTAGGCGCAAGGCCAAGGATTGCTTAGCAGTGAACTTGGTCACTTTTCCAAGTGACAGTACAGTACTATATCTGTTCACATGACAAACAAAAACACAAGATGCTTTACATGAACTACATCTCATTATGAGGCTTAGGGAGTGGAGTTGTTTTGGTTGTGGGGAAAAAAAAACCTGTTACCGTGACGGGAATTGAACTCAGGACCCCTTGGATTGGAAGGCAAACATCTTAACCACCAAGCTATTCAGCTGCACTGCAATATTAGTGTGTATCAGCATTTAATTGCAGGCATGACTAGGAATACTCCCTCGGAGATTAGAGTTGATTCCACTTGTGTTGGTTTGCCATTGTAGATCAAATGACCAAGGGTAATAATAGCTTTGTATCCCTTGGCAAGTGGCACGGTATTAGTATTTCTGTGTTTACTAAGGTTCTTCTTCACGTTGTCTTTGTCGATTTTGGTAGAACTTTTGTTGCCACAATAAAGTTACCACAATAACTAATATTGGTAAGTGTCATTGGTTTCAAACTTGGCAAAATGCGAGATGATATCTGGAAGATGGACGAATTGTTCTTCTGTGTGATTATGCTAAATCAGCATTTACATAATTATTTACTGGACTATGCAGTGAATTTGCATTGTATACCACCATAATGCCATCAATTTACATAAAAATTTAAAGATGTATTGTCCCTTGCTAATCATAAAAAATAAGTTTGAAATAAACTTGCTCATTTTCCAATAACATACAAATTATTAATTTGTGCATAGAAATTATTGAATTTAAAAAATGTGTACACTGATTTGTAAACCAACAGATTATAATAAAAATAATAAAACACTTCCAGTGACTGAAGTGTTTCTATCATTTTTTCTGTAAACTGATGGGTAGACATTTTTTAAAAACACCAATTTCTATGTTCAAGTTGATAACTTTTATGTTACTTCAAAATGGGCAAGTTAATTTCAAAAAATATTTTTATGATTTCTTTTATATTTAGCATGGGACAATTCATCTTTAATAATTTAAGTATATGAAATCACTGATTCAATTTGGGGTTAATAAATTGAAATTATTCTTTATATTTTTTTTTAATTCACCAAACTGTTAACTAAATATTAGTTTAATTCAATTTTTGCTGTTTTTTTTAAATGTAATAAACGTTTAAAACTCGTTGAAGTGAAGACCAGTCATCACAAGCCTACCATAATCATACATTCAAGAAAAAAAAATAATCAAAGACTTTAAAATACCAGGAAAAAAACAGCACCACAGCAAGGCTATGCTTTTCCTGCATAGCGTTAAAAAGGAATAATTATTATTTTTATCTTAAATTTACTGTATTATTTTTTATAGTGACGTTGGAATACAAGATAGAGTGGTTATCCAGGAGCTTATAAAAACAGTTGCTCAAACTCAGCAACTTGAATCTTCAACTCAGAGAGAATTTAAAGGTATTTAACTTGTATAGAGGTAAAAACAGTACTTTTTAATACCATTGTCTTTTCTCTCTTTTCTTTTGTGTGGATCAGCCTCTGGTGAGGGTGACAGACAGTAGGTTTATCTTGATTTCCTATATAGAGAGTTGCGACATGAGCGGTTCAGGTCTATTGGACACCTGCAATCCGCCATATTCATATGCAACCTAATCAGTGCTTAACCAATCCAATAAAAATAAGATAAGCTTTGAGGCTAAATTCTTGACCTCATGTTATTAAAAAAAATCATAACTCCATAACGAAAGGTCGTGTGACATTATATTTTGCTGGAAAATGTTCTTAAAAGACTATTTTTACACTACTTTATGATTTAAAACAAATGTAAAAAATTTTTCGACCTTTGAATTCAAAATGGGAAAAGAATAGCCAATCTAAATAGTGTAGTTAATACTGTAGTCCTCAATATTAGTACTAAGTGCATAGTACTGTTCATTTACCGTATCACTTGCGGATTTCTCTTATTAAATATTACAAGTTATTTTGGAGATGAGAATGAGACCCTAGTGAGAGGCATGCCACCAACACCCGTTTATTACTGTATGTGTACTCGCGTATAAGGCGACCCACGTATAAGACGACCCCCGAGTTTGAGAAGATTTGAATGATTTTTGTATGTCAAGCCTATAAGACCACCCCCCCCCCTTTCCCGCTTCACTGTCGGAATTCATACTTTTTGCTACTTTTTATGGTACAGTATTGATACTGCACATAGCTTGCTAAAAACAGAGCCAAATGCTGTAAAAATACTGGGCTAATCTTCTAAATATTATCATTTTATGAGATGTTTAATGATCATCAAATTCATCAAGTTTCCCCGTATCTAGAATTGTGTTCATTCGTAGGCCTACTAACATTTTTATTGCAGTAGTAAATTTGCGTGTAACGGACGATCCGTACAAAAGACGAAAATGATTTTAAAAATCAAAAATTTGCATGTCGTGGTTATAAAAGAACCCCCCCCCCCTTCCTAATTTTCTAATTGTAAACATTTTCTTATATGCGAGTAAACACGGTACAAATTTCTAAGTTGTCTTGTGCGTAAGTAAGAGGCCTATAACTATTAACAAATGTGATGATGTACGCCTAGCTATATTGGTCAAGCAAAAACTACATGTAATGTAATTAATTATACAGTAATAGCCCATTGAAAATCAATTTCTTTTTTGAATTGTGTTATAAACACAGAATACTTACTACTATCAAATGACATACGATTCTTTTTATTAATATTTTAATTTTTTTTTAATTGCCTGTTATTTATGCAATCGCCACACTGTAACATAGGCGTTGTGTTTATTCATGCATGTCCCACTAGCTTCACATGTCGCAACTCTCTCTATATAGGAATATCTAGTATTATCTTCTTAGGACTATTCAATGTTTAAGGCTAGAAACGCCATTCTCAAATTTGGCCTGCCCTAAATTTGAATTTGGTGTGCCAACATAAATTTCACCTTTAAAAACAAAACCATTGAATAATTATATAATAATAATCAAATAGCGCCTAATGTTAATAACCTCTAAGCGCTTAACAACGTTATAAACAATTAAAAAAAAAATTAAAATGAGTAGCGGTGCATGAAATTTAACTGTGGATGGTTGCTACATGTAACTTCTATTGCTTCCCTCCTCACCACCCCCACACAGCTGAAGCCGCCACGGCCTCCATTGTGTAATTTATCTACCTTTACTTCAATATGCGATTTAAAGTTTGAAATTTATTTACCATGAAACCATGTTTTTGTACAGTAGTTTCATTTCCCGACAACTAGGGAATGGAATACTATCAATCATATCATTGTTTGATTTAAGGGTGTTTACAACGACCATATTGGTTGGGTGGAGGTGAGAAAATCCTCTGGTTGACGGGCAATTACCCTATAAATGGTTGTTTCCTCTCAAAACCTCTGCCCAATAGATATTATGCTAATGTCTGACAAATCAACAATGTGAACATATGTGTTTGTAGGCCTTACAGTATGCATATTTCTGGCCCCCAAATTAACATGTTCTGATTGTCCAGCTGTTAGAGTTTGATTGACACTGTCATGGAAAAGCTAGGCTCATCAAAGTATTAAATTAGAACATGTGACATGCCTAAATATGGTCATGAAGACATCACATCATGGCCATATATAGGCACATAAGGACTATATGGGCATTACAACAGCTTTTTTTCTAAACCTTTCAGTGGTCATCTTGACAGAAGTTGACAGACTGACAAAGGATGCCCAGCATGCTCTGCGCCGGACAATGGAGAAGTACATGTCAACCTGTCGTCTGATCCTCTGTAGCAACTCCACAAGTAAGGTCATCCCTGCCATTCGCAGTCGATGCCTAGGAGTACGCGTGGCAGCTCCTTCTCTGGATGAGGTTTGTGTACCAAAGTATGTCCAAGGATTATAGATTGGTAGAGCTGTTCTGTCCCAACTTGGGGTCTGCCGCAAAAATAATCGAGGGTCCACCAATTCAAAAGGGCATGCAATGGGTTCACAAAAAATGTTGAGTCCGATAGATTTTTAGACCAACTTTTTATGATTCCATTATTTCTCTCGTGTGATGATAGTTTGAAAAATATCTTACTGCTAACTGGTTCAGTACACTCACATTGCTTACCTGACTGAGCTACTGTATGCAGAACTTGTCAAGAATGCTCAAATGAGCTTTTTTTCCCGTTTTTATTTTGCTCATTTATCTCTCATCCAAGTTAATCAAAACATATTTATCTACTACATGTACAAATAATATTTACTCAAGTAATTATTTATCTTATTTCCTTCATTTTAGATCACACAGATCTTACAGACAATTTGTAAAAAAGAGGGTTTGACATTGCCATCAGAGTTGGGTAGACGGATTGCCGAGAAGTCCGGCAGAAATCTACGCCGTGCAGTTCTCATGTGTGAAGCATGTAGAGTCCAACAGTAAGAATTATTTACATGGTTTAAAAGAAAATTTTTGCCATAAAAAATATCCTTATTTTCCATTACATGAGCAAAAAGATTTGCGATACAGATTTTTCATAAACAACGTTTCTGTGTTGCCAATGACAGGTCTGAGAAACATTGATAGAGTGGACAGTGCTTTATGCTCTCATTTCCGAACATATTGCTCACCTACAGAACTAAATACTGCAAGCTCCATTTTTAACTGCCACAACATCTCATTCTAATTCCATTGTCTCAAGATTTTAACAGTAATTTGTTTTTATTATATGTATTTATCTGTCTCTCCCAATGGCAGGTATCCATTTAGTGCACAACAAGAGGTACAGGAGCCAGACTGGGAAATTTTCTTAAGAGAAACCGCCAATAAGATTGTTCAAGAACAAAGTCCTAAGATGCTATTAGAGGTCAGAGGTCGTCTTTATGAACTGCTAACCCACTGCATCCCAGCGGATATTATAATGAAGGTAAAGGATAGATTATTGTGCTTAATTGTCATGTTGAAACAAAAACTTGTTGTTCTGGTTGACAATTGCCATGGGGACGTGTTGAGAATGTTGATGGACTCTCAGTGGCTACCGGATCGAATCCACCAATGAAAGCTTTCATGATCTAGTTGGTAAGACGTCCGCCATGGAAGCGAAATGTACTGGCTTTGATTCCCTGTGGAGGCTGTGATTCGTTTTTATTTTCCAAAAATTCAATTCTACTATTACATTTATAAATAATTATTAATTGTATTATGTGGCTTGTTGTTTCTAGGTTATCCCATATGCCTATAAAATCATATGTTTATATATATATATATATATATATATATATAAATATATATATATATATAT